GAGAGAATTTTAGATTAATTTGAATTAAATTTAACCAAGAAATTAATTAATGTATTAATTGATACCGTATTCTGCTGTGAATAAGTATCCACCTTTTGCAATTTTCATATCCAAATTTTTCATGATCTAGTGATCGAATCTGCATAATTATGTTACTGCTCGAATCAACTTATAAAAATGATTCAAATAGTACCAAAACTATGCAGATTCGATCACTAGATTATGAGAAATTTGGATATGAAAATTGCAAAAGGTGGATGCTTATTCATGGCAGGATACAGTAATCAATTGATTAAATAAAAAAATATATATTATGTAAAACCTGACATTATATAGTGAAGAGTTTTATAGACCAATTTCAGCTTAATAAAGATTTTTAGATCTATTAATGCTTGTATAGCTTCTTTAAATGATATATTACTTTAAAATCATTATTACTGTAGCTATGTAATAATATTTAATATAATGCTACTACAGTATTTTATATCAAAATTTAAGTATACTATCACATTTGTTAGTTTCATTTACATTAAATTAGTAAATATATAAGGTATGGCTTAGGGTAGATTATATAAAGCTTCTTTTGTTTCAAAAAATAATTTTAAACTATACAATACATTTAACCATATTCTGTAAGTATGAAAATGTTATCATTGGTTTCTATTTAGTTGAATTTTGATTAATTTATGCTATCGCAGCTAGAGAGCCTAACCTAACGTGAGGTCCTTGCACTGCTATCATAGTTGCAGTGCTTAATCACCAAAAATAAGGTTTTTGTGCTGCCCGCGGCAGACATAGAGCCTAATCACAACATGAGTTCCTTGCATTGTTATTACAACCACGAAGCTTAATTACAATATAAGGTTCTTGTGCTGCTATTGTAGTTGCGAAGCTTAATCGCTAAACATAAGCTTTTTGCATTGTTTGTGGCAAATATAGAGCATAATCACAACATGAGGTCTTTGTATTGCTATCGCAGCCATGAAGCCTAATAATAATATGAGGTTCTAGTACTGCATAACACAATATCAGATATAGTATACTTATCTCTAGCTCAACTCATGCACCTAGTTATAATATTTAAGCATTAGTATCTTCTAAGTATTATATTATTCATCTATCTACCACTTATGAGAATAGTATTTTTATTTTACTATTCTCAAAAAATTTTTAATAGTGAACAGTAAAAAATTTTTACTGTTCACAAACTTATAATCGTGTTCTCATGAGAACTCTGAGAACACTAATTTCGAACACTGCTTGTAATAGATGTTGCATATTTGATACTATAGTAAATAGAAGAATTTTATTTTGATTATATTCTGAATCTTCTATTAAAAACAACTTACTACTTAAGATATAGCATAATGCAATTAGATTTTTGATTTCTTTAAGTATTTAGGTTTTTGTAAAGTTGCATTTTTTCTAACACACTTAATTTTTATTTTAAAAGCTCCTTTTGCAAACATATAGGATAAAAAACTTGTTAGAATAGCAGCAATACTATTTTGAATAATTTTGAAAGATTTATTTTGTGTATTACAAGCTTGTTGTTTGATATAAGTAATAGTCTGTACAATTTCACCACTAGTAGCTAAAGGACTGTATTTATAATTTTCAGATTTTTTAAGATAATAAGAATTATTTAAGAGAGTTGTAATTGCTTATAGGTATATTTTTCACAAATAAATAAATAGATATTAGTAATTTTGAAATTATTTTTTGTGATATTATGAGTTTATAAACTTTACTAACTTTACCACTTATATTATAATAAAGGCAGTAATAAAAATATGAATTTTAAAAAAACAATTAACTTATTTCTTTTTTTCTATTTATGTAGCAATAAAATTTATTGCATAACAATAGCAACATATTGATAATTATAATCAAAATATTACAAAGATAATAATGGATAAATAGGTAATATAATTAAAATTTTTTTTTAAATAGAAAAAATATAATGATATTAAAACTTTCTTTAATAAATGAAAAAAAGATATCAAGTAAATTAATTTTTAATATAAATAGAGTAGGAGAACAAAGTTTGATTAAAACTAAAAATTAAATATATAATAAATAAAGTTTAACAAATTATACTATTGTTATATAAACTACTAATTATTGATTATACATGTATATATCTAAAGATATTTAAGAGTGTGGTGACTTAGTAAAGTAGTAAAGTTGTTGCACTCCCAAGCTAGCTTAACTAAAGATTCTAAGTTTGAATCCTACTAGCAATATTTTAAACAAAAATTTCTTGTATTATGGTAATGGATCTTTATTGATAAGTTATAATATAGATTATATACTAGAAGGTTCTAAAAATATTTGTGTAATATCTAAATTGTATGAAGAAATACAAACTGGTATAGATAGCACAAACTCATGATAAACGTTTTAAACTATATAAACTCAATAAAGAGAATTTAAAGATCTAAAACCAGCTTGGCAAGCCTCAAACAAAGAAAGTAGTAAAGATACAATAGTGCTACAAAAACAGAATTGAACTAAACTGAAGAACTAGTAGAACTAAATAATATAAATCTTCTAGGTTTGGGGTTTTACCAATCTAGCTGCTATAGTTATACAAGAAGAAAAGAACATATACTCTGAAAGTGTATATTAAGAAGAAAAGACTACAAAATACTTAAAGCTAGGTAGGCTAACTCTACCAAGCCAACTAGATTGGAAGTTTAGTAAAACTAAAGATATAGTTTGAAAAAAGACAATAATTGTAAGTATCTGGTCTAATAATGGTAAACATTATCCCTTAAACCATCAAGCATCCATATTTGGATGCTTAAATTTATAGCCATCACGTGAGTTTGTACGCTTTGTTTGGGTTGCCGCACTGCAGCTATGATTTGTGTCATGTGGCTTGATTCTTTGAGAGTCTCTGTAGCCAATTAGAATAAAAATTTGGCAGAATAACTTTTTTACAGAGCTCTATTTATATTTAGAGTTTAAATTTGAACACCTTATTGGGACGGTTTAAGGGATAACCCAACTAGAAGGTTACCCATTTAAACTCTCTGATATCCCCAGTCCTGCACTGCCCCGTTTGGTTTAAACTGTTTCACTTTGTGTTGTACTAAGGCCACCCAGGCTGGCATTCCCCTACTAACTTTATCTCTTTTATAGATAAATCCTTCAAAACTAATCAACCAGTATTTACCCCAGGAAGGGCGCAGTAGATGCCTCCCTAAATTCTTCTATGTTCCACGCATTTCCAGATTTGGTTCAGAGATACTGTGCTACAGCTTTATCTGTATACTAGCGAGCCTGGTTACCCAAGCCACACATATCCCTGCCCTTGTAAAGTTCATTTCTACCCCAGTACCCACATTCAAACTTTCCTTCTTTCCCAGATTCTTTACCGGTCTCTCCCTTGTTTCCAGCCAGCAACCTGAAAGGGTTGGTCTGCCCAGGTTTTAGATGCCTTACAGTCTCTCTTCTCTTGGTACATGCTTCTAGAGCACATGTCCTTTTCCTCCGGTTGGTGATCTGGCGGTTCGGCTGGTATGTCCCCTACTTAAAGACCTGATCACTTGGTTCTCTGGTCTCGGTTTCTAGTTTCGAATTCGGTTTTCCTGTGGCACCATCGAAAGTTTCCATTACTCCTTACTCGGGTCTTCCCAAACAGGTTTCGATCATTCCGGTTTCTTGGCATTTATACACTGAAGCTCCTATAACAAGATGGTGCAACCAAGATTACAAATTGTAGATCCAACCGATTGATGGATAATCATTACCAAACACAGGCTTAATTTTCAAAATCGTCATCTATGAAATTTGAACTCTAGACCTGCCACTTGAAGGAGTGACAACTAGACCACTTCACTAAGCTACCACACCCTACTATATATTTAATTATATAGAAAAAAGTAATAAAAAAAAAAATAATTTTTTTTTAAATAAAAATTTTTTTAATTTAAACCAAATTCAAAATTTTTTTATTTTAATTTTATATATACAGTATAGTCATAAAATTAAACCAAAAAATTTTTTATTAAATTTGAAATTTAAAATTTTAAAAGTTACTAAAAATAATTAGTATTTTTTGCTTTAACTAGTAAACAAATTACTGATATATTTAGACTATATACACTATATATAGTACGTAATATACACGTCAGTTAACTGTAATTTAAAAATTTTTAATGATTTTATCAGTTTTATTAACCAAAAAGAGGTTCAATAGTCAAAATTAGCCCAGACGCATAATATGCTCTTTACAAAGTAACTATTACATAACAATTGTGAATAATCTTATGATTATTACGTGAAGATACCTTACAATATCTGATATTAAAGTTGGCCAAAGACTCTCGTGACCAACTTCAGGGCTAATTTTTGAATGCTAGGAAGATAAAATTCGGATCAAACGGCATATTTTTACAAATAGGGATCAGAACCGTTTAACCGCATAAAAAATTTTTCATAGTGCCGGGACAAATTATGTTGATCATGGGTCAATTTAATGCCAGCTTAAACGGTTAATATTAATAAATTTTAGACGGTTCAAATCTACACACTAACATGTCCTTGTTTGAATTATTTTAAGTATGCCACACTGCGGCCATCGAATATGGCTTATGTCTCGAGCCTTTGTGAGTCACTATTGCCGATTATAAATATTTTTATAAAAAAAATTTTTTTTATATGTTCAATTATTTTAGCAAACAAATTTGCTCGCCAACCGGACGGTTTAAGGGATAAAAATTAAATACATATAAATTTTGAATGGTTTTTTTTTTTAAAAAAAAAACTAACTTTTGTGCACATATTTATTAACAATGCTTAAAGAATATTTTTGGGGTTCTATTTCAATATTTCTATTTACTCTATTTATTGATTCATCCTCATCTAGATATAAATTACAAGGAGGTAGTAAACAAAATCGAGGTTTCTAAATAGTTATGAAAAAGCAAATTCTATCTAAAAATAGTTTTATCACATTTCTATTCGTCTATTTAAAAAAGTTTTTTTTTTTTTTATAGCTCTTTTTCTTCTGAGGTTTTTAATCTTTTGAAAAGTTCTCTGGTAATCTCACTAAATCCGGAATAATTTTCGGGATGATCGAATACTCTATTAAATCCTTCTGTATCTCTAATAGCTGCAAAGTGTTTTAAAATATAATCCATACACACTCTTTTCAAGTCCATCCATTGATGACCTAAACTAAATAGTACTTCTGCCACATTGGATATCGCCAATTCTTTGTATATCCGAGCTAACGCGCGCTGTCGCAAATCAGTTATTTGATATTTATCAGCCAGTCGAAAAAGATGCACGAATGACGTTATTTTCGCCGTTCCAACAGGCTCTGAGAATTCGATCTCGTTGGTGTAAAGGTAGTGAAGTAATGCACCAAAAGTTTATGGATCGCAATCTGTAATATTGACAACATGATAATAACCTGGAGGAAATTCCTGATAAAATTCATTATCATCAACTTCAGCCTCCGGACTATCAATTCTGGAATTGTTTCGTGAAGAAGTTCCTCTTTCCGATGAACTGATTCGTTTATTAGTAATAACCTCCTGGTTTTTATCTATAACGCTTGTAGTTATTTCTGGGATTTCATGATCATTTTTATGTTGTAATGCGATCGTTCTTGCACTATTACCATCATTATTAATTGTTGTTTGAATGCCTGAAGGAAATAAGTTGATTTCTTGATTAATTGAAGAGTTATTAAAATTAGAGGAACCTATTTCTGAATGTGAACGCTGTTTTTTAGGTGTTCTTGTATCTTTTTTTTCTTTGATCTCAACGTTTTTTATATCATGAGAATTGCCAGTATTTGAATCTCTATTATCAATAATTTGTTTCATTGATTTGCAACAATTTCCTGAAGAATCACGATGTCGTTTCTTTAATCGGCCACAATCTGCTAAGGATATCATACGTGATTCAACGCATCCACTTGCAAACATGGTTTTAAAATATTCACTACGACCGCATATAACATCTTTATTTGCACAAAGAACCTCTCCTTGAACATTGAATAATACATCAGCCATTCTTGGATTGTTTATAGCAGTTTTCCAAGATTGAATTAATGAATCTGGTGGAGCACATTTATTGTCATTCCATGCGACATATGTTTCAGTAAATGGAACACTTAAAAATTCGATTCCCAAGACTAATTTCGTTTGTGGTATAGCGGAACGTTTCACGAAAAATTCACGGCCTATATATTTAATTTAATGGGTAATAAGATGTTAAAAATGGATTGGAATTCATAAAATGATCCAACCATTACCTCTATAAGAACATCTGATAGAAAATTTCTTTAGATTTCTATTAGTATAATAAATGGTACTCCCAATTTTAATTTTAGTTTTTGGGTCTTGAAGATAAACTACAGCAGTTGTATTAAGACGTTCCCGCCAAGGCTCAACAGATTTGATCTCGAATGCATTAGGAATTGCACATAAATAAAGCGATAAATATTCTTCATTATCTTTGAGGTTTTCTGCCTATGGCAAATGGTTAGGAATTATAAAAATGATAAAGCAAAGAAAAAAAAAAGAAAAGAAAAAGAAAAAAAACATACAGGTTGTATCCAAAGTTGCCAAAAGTGCTGATCGTTTATTGAATTTCCAGAGCTGCCAGAAGAAAAAACTGGACTATAAAGAGATTTATTGAGTTGAGAAAGTCCTTCAAACTCGAATTCGTATGTTACGCTGTTAACGTTCTCTCGTCCATGGGTGACATTATTGACGTTTTCTCGTTCAATTTCCATGATAAAGGTATAATTTATTTTACAAGGTATTATTATTTTACGAAAACTTGGCTAAATTTTTGATCTATTTATAGTACAGATGTTGATAAACTATATAAAGTTTATATAAAGTCAAAAACGTTGAAACAATATAATCAACAACTGGGCGCATGTTTGCATGTGTGCATGATGGGTATTACAAGTATATTATAGTATATAATAAATAAATACAACAATAAACTGCAAAAAAAATAAAATAAAAAATAACATAAAGACGAACCCGAAAGAGAAAAAAAATTATAGCCTGATATGCAATATAATCTCTTATTATTCAAACGCCACAAAGAACGAGCCCTGTACAATGCAAGAATTATTGAAAACAACTTCTAATTGTTACAATTTCAACAATTTACCTATAGCGAAGATTATTGTCATGCTATATTTTCGTACGTAAGCTGACACTATAAGAACGAAATAATTTAGATAGCACGGAAAAACTAGTCTTATCCCCGATAGAATGGTAATCTTTTCAAAAAATAAAATTAAAGTTAGCAATTTAATTTTTATAATTACCATTTTAGTTAGCAATAGTAATAAAAAAAGTATTAACATTTGAAATTTAATTTTTATATACAAGTCATTCTCGTTGTGAACTCTCGATATAGTGAAAACTTATCAAAGTTGTAAAAAAAAAAAAGATCGTTTTTCAAAAATATAAACCATCTCAAAAGATTTTTAAGAGATAGATATATTCTGATGTACAGTATTTATTTATTAGGCAGTTATATATATATATATATATTTATGTATTTATAATGTTATATAAAAATTATATATATATATATATAGTATTTAAGAGTTTAAACAATATATCTATACCTATTATTACTCTAAAGATTTATATAATAAATTTAAAAATACGTAATTTATAATATATAAGAATTAGTAAAACCTCCATAAGTACACCCTCTCTAAATGCACACTCAAGTTCTGGCCCAAATATATACATGCCCCCTACAGTATAAATGCACTTTCTCTTATTGATCTTTAAGTATACTTTGTTAAAGATAGATTCCAAGAGCGTGCACTTTATATATAGAGGTTTTACTGTATATATATGTATTTATAATGTATAATTATATAAATCATATATCCTGTATATACTGCATATATATACAGTATTTGGCTTTAACCATGTTCTGTATTATTTTAATATAGAATATATATATCATATATATAGTTAATTTTTTTGTATATATATATATGGGGTTGAGTCAATAGAAATCAAGCAAATATTTTTTAATAAGTTTTTTTAAAACTTTAAACAAGAATAACTTAACAAAAACTTGATCAAATTTAATAAATTTTTTTTTAAACTAATTCTACAAGTTTATAAAAATTATTTAAAAAAATTTTTATTAAATTTTGTTATGTTTTTGTTAAGTTATTCTTGCTTAAAGTTATAAAAAATTTTTATTATAAAAAATTTGCTTGATTTCTATTGACTCACCCCCATATATATAGCATATTTATAATAATAAAACAACAACTATATTTAGTTTAAGTTTTTAAAATTAGCTTTTTAATTTAACATAATTTAATTTTTATATAATTTAAAAGTAACCCAAATCAAATTTTTTAAATTAATTTTTTTTTGGTTTAAAGTATAGTAATCCAAATTAAGCAATCAAATCAAATTTTTTTAAACTAATTGTTACAATAATTCAAATATATATTTTTTTTTTATAGAGTGAGACCTTACCTCTGTCCTTTATTAGATATTTATATTACATCATAAATAGATTACAATGAGTTACATCTAATATCTGCTAAAAACCTAGAGTGTTGTGGCGATCAGGGTTCCGCTGGTATTGGAATTTGTAGCAGTCGGGGTTCTTTTGGTGTTAGAATTTGTCTTATGTTAGTTAGGGTTGTTGATACTTTGGCATCTCGGGATCTAGATTTCAGAATAGATTTTTCTTGGATCTTGTGCAGCAGTGCATTTGGTTTTGCTGTAGGAAATCTTGAAAATTTTTATTTCTAGACATGTTAATTATTAAAATTTCGGTGGTCGATCATCAGAAGCATGCAGCTTACTATGATTTGTCTGCTGCCAAATAAATTTATCATGGCAAAAACTATTGTTATTGGGCAGACTATCGTCGTAAGTTTCGGATAAATCCGTTATCAGCCATGCAGATGCCTTATAACTTAATTATTTGGTCAAAAGTTTTAGATCAGCCTAAGAAGTTGAATTCCGAAGAAATTCAATTTCTTAGCCTAGCCTGATTTTAAATTTTTGACCAAATAAATCAGTTATCAGACAGTGCCTGCCTGATAACTATTAATTACTAGATTCTCGATATAATGGAGAGAATTTCACAGCTCGATCACTTCAATATAACGAGAGTGACGTATTATAAATTTTAGAAACTTCGGGATTTCTATTTCTTTTTTTTTTTTTAAAAAAGAATCCGAAACTAATTTCGGATAGGTTTCGTTTCGGGTACCAAGAATACTGTAGGGATAAGGATGGGCAAGGTAATTACTTCTTACCGGTATGTAAAAAGTTAAATCACGCTACGAGACTAACGCTAATAATGTACTAAAGTCACGTCATGTGATTTAACCTTTACGTAATAATTACTTTGCCCCATCTCTAGTTAGGAGCGTGTGTAAAAGTGACAAAGAAATGAAATACAGTAGATAGCGCAGATTAAGTTAAGAAACACTTGAGGATATGTAGTGTAAGTAACAGAATAAAACGGTGTATTAAAAAAGAAATTTATTTCTTTAAAACTTATTTAAATCAGTGTTGGAAATTAGTGTTTTCAGAGTTCTCATGAAAACACGTAAATTTGAGCACAGTGTAAATTTTTTACTGTTCACTAAAAATAATAATAAAGTGTTGGGCAAATTAGTGGTCGACCAAAAATTTACTGGTCAAATTGACCAAATGGGCTAGGTGCTGGAAAAGGACAATTTTTTTAAAATAGATTTTTTTACATAAATCAATTTAGATAGTGCTTGTAGTCGATCCTTATTTATCGACTTGACTAAGTCGGTATTTAAAATTCGGCTTAGCCGGCTAAATCAAAGTCGATTAATATTTTTTACCTTCAGAGGTTTCATCAAATTTTTGTCACGACCTTGTTCGTATTTTATATTCGTTGATTTTCGGAATTTTTCGGCATCACTCTTAGTACTATGTACTAAGAGTTGTAATGCATCGAATCTAATTAGTTACTTTAATATAATCTAACATATGGGCTAGGTGCCGGAAAAAGGAGCGAAATTGACATCTTTTTTCACCTAAGCACAAAAGTAGTTGTATTAATAAAATTTTTCAGTATAGCTCTTTAAAATTTTGTATTTTCTTATGATCTATTATAAGATTTATAACATAAAAATTGATCTTTTTATTTCATATTTTCAGATTTCGGCTTTTTGCTTTATTTCTAAAAATCGGATCCAAATATTTTCGACACACAGCCGCAACTAGTTTCTACGGCATATATAGTGAAACGTAATGCTGCAATTACAGAATTATAATGAATTAATGTCGTAACTCCTTATAATTACGACAAGTTTACGGCATTAGCTTATGACTAGTGGTAATCCAAACCCGATAGTTTCGTCATGTGCCGTATCCCGCCCAAACTGCCGAAACTAGTTTGGGATGTCCCAAATACCATGACATCATACTGTCAATAAATTAATTATGAAATGTACCCAAATCCTCTGGTTTGCGTAACTCGGGCATTTTAGAGATCAACAATATGATGGATGACCTTATATCTGTATATCATACTGATCTGTTATAATTCATATATAATATCTATACCCAGAGTTAGTAATGGAGCCAACGGGGCTCGACGAATATTTATCCATTGAGCTCCATCCGAACTTCCCTTCTCAATGGATAATTAAATTGTCCATATCGCATGGATTTGGCCATTTATACGTACAGTATCATACTTGATCTGCATCTTTTCCACTATGCGGATTGGTGATCTTTACGTTGTTCGTAAAAAAAATTCTACATATTTGGATAATTTTTATAGTTGACGGTGATACTAAATTATTACGTGTTAAAAACAATGTACGTACCAGGTACGCACGTATATAATTTGTATGTGTTCATTACAGTATGATGATTTAATATCACAGAAACATAAAAGTCCATGAATGGAAAGTCGTTCGAGTTTCGTGAAATTAAGTATATGCAAATTGTGCGTTATGAATAACTTTAAAAACTATGTCAGTACGTGAGGCACTGGTTATAATTAATTAACATTGTATCTTCCCGCGTTAATACTAAGGTTTAGACTAGAGATACTAGGAGAGTTTAGACCAAATTTGTGAGGAATTTTCGGTCAATCTGTCTCACATCTCGATCGGCTACATCCTAGTACGTACAGTACGTACGTGTCAGGTACAGTACGTACGTATCTGGTGTTAGCGTGCGGACGGACGTACGTACGTATGTACATACCGGTATTATCAAATTATTGAACCTATATCTAAATATCATGTACTGTAGATGATCGATCGTACGATCGGTCAATCATACTTGGTTGATTAATTGTCTACCTTTTTCGAGAATTTCGAAACGTTTGTATCGATCACTAAGCCAACTTAGTAGTGGTTGAAACATTTAATAAAACTCCACAACTTTGTTCCTAGCATTTTGTAAAATTCATTTGTTTATACACAATATTCATTTAAAACAATATTCATTCAAAACAATAATTTAAGACAGGTTTATTATTGTAACAACGAGTATTGTCAGGTATATAATTCGTTCGTACTTGGTTTCTTTTTTTAAAGTTTGATAGACTTACGTAAGTACAATATCCGACAATGGAATTTGAATATTAATTCTGTAATGAATTGCTACAAATCTATAACGATAAATAAATATATACTTTGTGGTAAAATCCGAATAATCTTTTATTTATTTATTTGGTGTAAGAAAGATCTTGATCTGAAATTTTGACAGGTTTTTTATATTGTAATCACGTGCATATGTAACAGGTAAGTAAACGTTTAAATACAGAATAAGAAATAAAAAAAAATTAGCCATTTGTACAACAATTAATACAGTATCTATTTCGTTATAAATTACTATTTCGTATTGTAACATACCCAAACGAAGTGATAGCGTCTTTGCACAAAACACTTCAATTTGCTTGTTTCAAAATTTAGTAACACACTTGGCATACTCAAACTGTTACGCATTTTTCCTTGTGACAAAATAAAGCGTCAGACTGAACGCGTCTTTGTCGAAATATATAGACTCCTCCTTGTTTCTATCACAAAACTATTTACGAACTTTTTTTTAGAAGCCATAGTTTGAAAATAGACCTTAATCTATTTTTGTTCGAGGCTTTAAAAAAAAAGCAAGAAATAGACGATTAAAGAAAAAAATATAAGGCTGCTTTTAGTAAACTGTGATCCAGAGTAATTCATCTAAGCCGTTGAACATGGCTACTCTGGACACGGCACGTAATTATACCCCCACATTTCTTGGTCTAGCAACCCAGTTAGGAATATCAGCTGGTATTTCCCTATACTGTTTATTACAATTTGAATGGAATAGACGCCAAAAAACTTTGCAATATCTCTATACTGCCCGTACAAGACTATCAAAGTAAGCAATTTAAAAAATATAGTTATTTTAATTAAAATAAAAGATATTGACTGAACTAATTAACGCTATTTTTTATATTTAAAAAGAAATGCATCTCCACCAATGCCTCCAGGATTATTTTCTTGGATAAAAGCCACTATTTTTTTATCAGACGAATTTTATTTAAAAAGAGTAGGTCTTGACGCTTTAATGTATATTCGATTTCTTCGAATGTCATTTCAATTTATATTATTTAATGTTTTTGTTGTTGGTATAATTCTTATACCAACAAATTACTTTGCTGGTGGTACGAGTGATGGTGTTGAAGTACTTTCTATTAATAATATCCCCGTTAATAAAACACAACCACTTTGGGCTCATATGATATGCACATATATAGTTAGCTTTAGCTGGATGTATCTTTTATATAAAAATTATTATGATTACATGATATTACATAGAGAACATCTTTTAAAAAAAGTGGTTACTGATTCTGTCACTGCTAGGACTGTAATGGTATCTAGACTTCCTCATGATTTGAGATCTGAAGAAAAACTTCAAGAATTTGTTGAAGGGTTAGGTTTGGGTCCCGTAGAAACTACAAGAATTGTGAGACACACTGGAAAATTAGATCGAAAAATTCATAGGAGAGAGAATGCTTTACTTTTACTTGAAAAAGCTCATATAAAACTTGCAAAAAATGTTTGTAATACTATTAAAGGTCGAAGATTTTTTGGTTTTGGTAATTGGTCAAGACTATTTGGTCGTAATAATGTGACATCTCAAGATATATTAGAGGCTGGTGAAACAAAGGAACATCAAAGAATTCAATCACTTGTTGAATGGTTGAATCCTCGTAAAAAGAAATCTGATAATAATCAAATTCAAAGTTCATCTGATCAAAGTAAACATTTTACTACTCCTAGTGAAGATATTATGAATCAAGAGGATGGTTATGGTCGTCAATTTATCATATGGGATGCGCTTTTTCATATATCTAAGCCTGTACTTGATAGGTTTCAGCCCACTCGTAGGATGGGATTTATAAAAGGTGGAAAGATTCTTTCGATTGACCACTTTCTTAAAAAATTTAATTATTTGGATCGTCGCATCGCTGAATTGCGTGCTATGCCACTTAATGCTACCGCTAGTCCTTACAAGCCTACGGGTACTGGCTTTGTAACATTTCGTGATCATATCAGTGCTCAAATTTGTGCTCAAAGCATTATAAGTTCAACTCCACATACATGTACTACTAGAATGGCTCCAGAACCAAGAGATTTACTTTGGGAAAATTTGATCATGAAATTTCGAGAGAGTATGATTCGCTATGTTATTGTTAATGCTTGCGTTTGGTAAGCTTAAGTTATGTTGTTGTTGTTTTGGTTTTTTTTTTTTTTTAAGTGCTTGTTCATTTTTTCTTACCATCTAATTGTATATTTCGTTAGGGCTTTGACAATCTTTTGGCTTTTCCCTATAGTTGCTTTTCTTACTCTAACATCAATTAGTTCACTTTCCTCACGAATTTCTTTCTTGGGATCATTTTTAGAAGCTACACCTGCGATACGTACTATACTTCAAAACGTTTTACCAACTGTGTTAGTTTCATTCTTCATGGCAATTTTACCTTGGATTTTAATGGGTATGTTTTATTTCACCTGTGATAATTTAATTCAAAATTATTTACATTTCACTGAAATTTTGTACATGATAGAAATTTCAAAACAAGAATGTTTCGTATCTTATTCAGAATTGGAAGAAGCCGTATTAGTTCGATTCTATCATTTTTCCTTTTTCAACGTCTTCATTGTATTCTTATTGGGTATTACATTTTTGCAATCAATTTTTGATGTGATCAATAATCCCACTAATATTATCGAGTTGCTTGCAACTAGTTTGCCTAAGGTAATTAATTATTTAAACAATTATTAACATACAATGTACAATCAAAAAAAAAGCCAAAATTATTAATAATTACTTTTTCTATTTATAAAAATAATAGGGTGCAACTTTTTTCATAAATTATGTCGTTTTTAATACTTGTACACATGGTATTGAACTTCTTCAAATTGTACCGCAGTTTTGTCTCCACCTCATCCTTACATGCAGATTCATAGCCACAACTCCTCGTATGCTTAAACGTGTGACGAATCCTTGGTCGTTTCAATTTTATTTTTATTACCCTTGTCATATTTTAGTTCTTGTGATCACCATTACTTATTCAACAATCAATCCTTTGATATTGGTTTTTGCACTTGCATACTATGGAATTGCCCTTGTAGTATTTAAACACCAATTTGCTTATTGTTATGTGAGACAATATGAGGCTGGAGGAAAATTTTATCGCCGTGTTTTTCATTACACTACAGATGGATTAATTATTTTTCAATTAACTGTTCTTGGCGTAATTTGGCTTCGCAAGGCAATAACTCAAGGCTCTCTTATTGTACCACTTATAATATTTACTGGATATTTCAAATATTATTGTCATAAGACATTTCATTCTAGAACAAATTATCTGGCTTTAGATACTCGTTCAAACCAGAAAGATAAAGAAAATTTGTTAACTATTAAAGAAAATCAATCAGAAGGTTCTGTAAAAACTATATCAAAAAAAGACGATGACAACAATATTGGTTCTGTTGATAATAAGAATTCGTCATCACAAATGATAGAAACTAGTGCTGATAATATACTTATTAAACGTGTAATAAGTGATGAATCTCATGGTAGTGATAGTGAATCAAGTACAAAATACAATGGTTCCACTAATATGTACTCAAAAAACACTGATTCAAAAAACACTGATGAAAGTACTTTAAAAGTACCGAATTGTAACAATGGCAATGAGGATGTTCCATTACAATCTTCTATAAATTTAACTCAAACTTCAATCGATAAAGTTGAACATGAGAAAACCAGCGATTATGGAACTGGAACTCGACAAATTCAACTTCCAAAAACAGCGGCAACAGTACGAAATAATATTGCTGATGAAAAGATTGGCTGTGATAGTAGTACATCAAATAGTGTATTTAAGAAACCTTCACTAAAGTTAACACTTGCCCCTCCGAATCCCAATCCATCAAACATACCAGTGTTGACCTCATCTCCCATAAGCTGCCCTGATCTAGGAGTTGCACGTACACCTTTACGAAGTTCACGATCGAATATGTATCCTGTAGTTTTAATGTATGATCCCAATAGTGAAGAACTTCAAGATGAAGCATCACAGTATCAAACATATACGCATCCTAATCTTGTTAAAGATTTGACTAGAAAACTCTGGTTACCAAAGAATCCTCTTAAAAAAATTACTATTGAAGATACTGTTAAACTTACTCGGGCGTTAACATCAAGTGATGGTGGAAATGGAATTGTTGGATTTTGGGGAGAAGCTTCAATATATTTAAATGCAGCGAGAGTTAGTGAATACGGATTGCATGAATTCGTTCCTCCACCACAACACCAACGAGGTGCAACTGGTAGTACAGGTGGTGAAAGACCTTGTCACCATAGACGAAAAACTTCATCACGAAGAACTAACGGTACGTCAAATGGTGATCCAGAAACACATGATAATGATGATGATAGTGATAGTAACGAAGTATGTGATGATGATGATTATGATGACGGTATAGTCAGTTTGGGAGCATTCTTTAGTGGTGAATTAAGATCCGGAGAATTATCAAGCGGTGAAGAATATTAGAGACACCAATCCTATTTACTATTTAATTTGATTTGACGAAAATATAGATCATTGATCTTACATATTTGGGTTTAAATTAAATAGTGAAAAAATTTTTTTCTTGAATTTTATAGAATTCATTTTGTATATAAAAAAATTTTTTTTTAATTTGTTAAATTTTTTTAATGATTAGAAAATTTTATGTAATATAATTAAAAAATGGTTTTTGTTTTATATATTATGGTTTAGAAAATAAAACTTTTTACCTTGTAATCTAATAAATTTTAGTGTTTTAAAAAAAGCATACAGTATATACTATTTAATTATTAAAAGTTTTTTTTTTGTAATTTTTATTATTTGAACGTTAAAATATATAATTTTTGTTTAGCTTTGCTTTTATACAAACAATTATTTTGTAACACATGGGCATCATTTCTGATAATATGAAGGAATCAAAGTTATGATTTTGATTTCTAAATAAATTCTTTATTCTAGAGGGATATCGGGTATATCCTTTACATTTTCATGATAGAATCATCCCTCGTTCCGATCGCACAACGCTCAATTAGTATTGTCGATCTGGCGTGATCATGAATGAAATACCAAGATAAATGGAGCGTCTCGTATTAAAAAGGTCCATTTTTGCAATATAAACAATTTCGAGTACAAATAGAATCACCAAAATTTTCAATTTGAATTTATTGATATTTTCAAAAAATTTTTGAAATGGGCCCTTCTAATACGAGGCACCCCAAATATGCTTTATCCAAAAATTTTTATCATTTACAAAAAAAAATATTTCTCTAGCAAATTTATCCTCCTAACCCTAGCCTTAACCCTAATTAATATAACCAGAGTTTCATTTTGTACTTGAGAGGGTTGAGTAACTCACCCAGGTGTTAATAGATTTATATATACTATAAATCTTAATTTTTTAATATTAATTTTTAAACTGATAAAGCTCTTTATTCAAAATGGTCTTGAAAAACTAATCAATAATTTCGGTAATCCACGAGTCAACCAGAGAGTAATCATAGTGAAACGTGACGCGGATCACTTATAGAAATTGGGGCTTTACGAATGTGACGTGTGCGAATCTAAAACTTTTTTTATACTAAGTTAACCACTCTTCTAACTTAAGAGACTTTTGTAGAGCTTGTTGAGACGTATCTAATGGTGGTTAAATAATCTAAATCGGCCTGGTGGATGCCAA